TTGCATTTCTAGCGTGGCGACAACAAGCGGAGGCTGTATTCTGGTCTATCGTTGGAAGGGGCAATTGCGAACTAGAGCTCATTCATTTCTCGACAACTGTGTGGCGATGTAATACATTTCATCGTTTCACTGCCGATGGGTGGCTGGTGCTTTGTCAAGCTGTCATTGGGAAGCTTTTTTTCCTTGCCACCTTTCTTGGCCGCAAATGTTCACTTTTTTGGTAAAAATAAAGTTCTTTGATTGATTGATTAATTATTTGATTGATTGATTGATTCATTTACTGTCACTGTTCACAGCAACACCTCTAGTCTTCTAAACATCACTACGAAGCAGCACATCACACATGTTAAGCTGATGTATAAGTATGCGCATGAAATGTAAACATTCACGGCCGCATTCAACGCTCTGCGAAAATTGAAGCGTTGTTGACACCACATGAATAAAAAAACAAACGTGCTAGAAAGCATACTGACCGTCGTTGATTTCTTTCGACTGCAAACATATTTCTCTGTGCATTCCAGAGTTAAGCACTACAAATAAATGATTCCCCATACTGCCATGTGCTTTTTTATCATGCCGCCATCCTCCAAGAAGCTTTCATCACGAACCCGTCACCTAGCTTGTTCACCAAGCCATCCACCAAACACATTTTTGCATCACCACCATCAGCCGGAATTTTCCACTGTCACCACCTTTGACTCACCACCAAGACCACCATCTGCCACCATTTTTTCTACTCTCGCCATCTTCAGCTATTAGGACCATCAAAGCTTCCGCAATATCCACTATTATTTCCACTACATACACTATTCTTTCCACCATATCCGCCAACGATTCCAGAATACACCAACACCAGATTTTCAATGGCGAAGTAGTTAAAAAAATAAGCTAAATTTGGAAAGTTACATCCAGTGACCACACTATACGTTTGCGAGAGAAAAAAAAGCGGTCACAAAGAAAAAGAACAAAGTATGAAAAAGAATGTGCTCCGTAGCAGATACATCATGTGCTCTTACCCTTACAAATCAATTGAACACTAAGGCTAGCAGAGCCTTGAACAAACAACTTATTACAGACCAACTTATTATTAACAAACAACTTATCACTAACCCCCGGCACACATCATAAAAACTGATTAGAGGAGTTGTGTGCCTCGATCAATCTGAAAATCATTCATTATTTTGTTTTCGGCTATGCTAATGTATTGTAATTTTGCTGCATCCACGTGCGTTTAGTGCTTCTATGTTTTAGAAATTTTTTTGTCAATTTTATTTGGTTGTGTATATCTGCGAGAGTAGCGTCGAATTCTACAAAATCGTTGTGTAAATTCTATTTTATTTGTGTGTGAACTTAATACGTACACTAGCAAATTTTTTCATGTCCATTTCTCTGAACGAATGCTTTTTTTTTCTGCTGAGCTCTTGTCGAATCTTATGCACTTCCACGAAATGCGGTGAGACCGGGGCCTTTGTCAGGCTGCCTGCCTTTAGCCCGGTAAGTGCAAAGATTACAAAGACAAATAAAACCTCTAAGCGTCCTCCACGTTGCACAAGTATTTGTCTGTCCTTCAGCCTGGTAATAAGCAATGACAAAATCATGGTGATGCTAGAAGAGATGTACGGTCACATTCTGATCAAGAGGAACACGCGTATAGGATCACCACGTGATCTGTCGAGGGAAGAATATTGCGTACACAAAGAAGCCTTCCACGGGAAAAGAAAAAAAAAACAAGTAGGTCGGACACATAATCCCACCACTACACTAGTTGTATAATGTGAAAATTTGCTGCATCTGGTTTGACGCAATCACCAAGGCTTATAGACAAGATAGAAATTTAAAATACTGACGTTTCCAACCCAAGGGCCTTCAATTTGCTCACGAATATTTTGCAAAATATTCTTCGACAGATAGAACGGTAACTTGTTGAAGCTGGTGATTCAGCATCGACATTCTTGCAACCCAACACAGGTGCTGCCATCTGTTGCCCCCCAAAAAGGAAATTGCTTATCTGGCTGTGATGCAATAGGTAGTGTGATTGAGGGTTATGTGTGCTGCTGCTATGTTGATCTATTGCGCGTACATTTGATGCGTTCTCGCTAATACCATTCACTACTAGTGAGCGCCTGTGTTTTGTTACCTCTTCTGTACTCGTTCATTTCGCGCTGTGCAAATACGTCGATTTCTCGACTCACATTCAACTTGAGTGAAGTATACTAGGGAAGAAAGGTCCGAAAGTAGATAAGTAGTAAAGATCAGGTGAAATTATGAATTTGGTACAATTAAAAAATACCATTAGAAACAGAAACAAAGGTGGCAAAGGAATGTACACAGTTCACTGTATGAAATGCAACGTTTCTTTTGTTTTCTTTCTTTGTACCTGCAAGACAAAATTTTACGATTTTCACCACCGTCACCTCCATTACTGTTAACACCAATTTTTACTCTTGAAAATAATTTGTTTTTTTTTCGGTGCTTCTCTTAAACAATTTGAAGTAAAAATTTTGTTTCTAGTTTCGTCTATTTCTTTGCCTACGCGTTTTTTGGTATTTTTGGAGAGGAAAAAAACGCCAGGCCTGCGCAGCACTGTCACAGTGAAAGCTGTGAGCCTTTCATAAACATCGATTGGGTAACTGCTGCAAGCATACTTGCTTGATACCCATACGGCCTTAATAACAAAAATATTTGGGTAGTAGATTGGCATTCACTATGCTATTTTTCGTCATTTTTTTGAGAAGCGTGGTATCCACTAAACACATGCAAGGAATTTTGCGCCAATTGTTCATGCAGTGGCTGACGACGGTGAAGAATGATCGCTGAAGTGGGTATGCGCCACAGTTACAACCTTTTGTAAAGGGTTGGAGCATTGGACGACCCACTCGGTACGCTATTCGCATCGTGCGACGACTGGATGTTCTTTCGCTGTTTTAAAACGCTCTATAGGTCGTATCAACGCGATTGTTTTCTCGACATCAAGCCTGCCTTAGTCTAATTCGCCAGCAAGTCCCAAGCACTGGCGTGGGACTTGGGACAACGACGGCGCAGCGCAAGACCCGAGCTGCGATCTCATAACAGCTTTCTGCGCCTTATCAAGAACATTATCAAGACTAGAGTCAGATGTTTAAGTACCCAATAAAATGTATTCACTACACAGGTACAGATTTTACACGTCTCACAAACTTTCTTCTTTTAGGACGATGCACTTTTCGTACGTTTTGCTGTGCAACTCTTGAAGGAGGTCGAAGAAATAACATCCACCGTGCTTTCAAGTTTGACAGCCGTGACGTCGAACCAGCCTTTGATCTCGTCTCTTTTGTGTGGTCAAGATGTCAAACCACCAACTAGGCCAAACTCGTCTCACGCTCAGAGATGGCGCCATCCGATGCCGGTGCCATGACTGGAAGCAGACTTCTGCTCTCGCCCATCAAGAAGTGGGCCGTATGTCCACACAGGTCACGCTATGTACTCGTCAGAGTGTCATCTACCACAAGATATCAGCGAGATTCCAGGCTAATAAATGAACGAGACCAGTAGTTCTCTTGCCTTAGATGCTCACGCAAGTATATAGCTTTCCCATGTCGCACCGCCAAGATGACTCTCTCGTTTGCGCCACCGATTTCAATCGCGAGTTTTGCCTCCTATATGCAATATGAAAACACCTATATAGACAGCTTTGCTCAAATTTAGTGTTACGGAGTACAACGATCATCGGTGAACTTTTTTGACACGTGGCAGAATAAAAACTTTTTTCAGTTGTTTGCTGAGCAATAATGTGCAATCTGTGAGCAATAGTGTTGCGCGCATTACTGGGACGATTAGATATGGTGTCGGCATGATGTATTTTCTATAAACCTCTTCATCTTGAAAGAATATTTGCCTCTTAGTGCAGCTTGTGACCTGCTTCAGGGCGCAGCACGATTACTTTTCAACAGCGCACATGCGGTAAATATCGCCATCCATGCACGCCTCAAATTAGCGCTAATTACCCTCGTGAGTAATGCCGATTTGCCACTATTAGTTAGTTTTACATAAGAAATATTATTCACAAAGACAGCCAAACTTCGTGTCAAAGTTTCTGTGCACAGTATGGAGCAGTGTTTTCACATACAGATAGTTTTATGTAGACCGTTCTCGCGGGATGAGTGTTTCGCTCCTTTCTGCAAACGGCTCGAAGTGCGCGTGACGGTGTGCACAAAATGGCTCTTACAGCTCATTTGCGCAAGCCAGTGGATTGCCAGCTTAGATACAGCTAAACAACTCGGCGGCGCCCTCGAGAAAATTGTCTACATTTGTACATGCCGCTGGCCAGTTTTTCGGGAAAGGGGGGGGGGAGGCATAAAATGAGGAAAAAAAAACACCACTCATAGAAACCAGGTTTTTTTTTATCTCGCTCACATAACGTGCTTATCGTTTATATTTCTGCGAAAAGTTGCGTGTAGAATTACCGTCTGTTTTTTTTTTCGCTCTTTTTAGTGTAAGTATTGTCTGCTCCCCAATCGCTAGTAGGCATATATGCATCACTGCTGCTATTCCTTTCAAGGATGAATTATGATGCGCTGTCTACGAATGTGCCCAATTCACGTACTAAAATTGCAAGACACTCAATACTACATTCCAAGAAAGAAAATGAAGTAATGTGTTGGTTTATGCGAGTTTGAGGAATGAACTGCAATTAGCACCTAATCAAATAATAATACTCTGCAGTGGGTCACATTCCATTTCAACGTAAAAAGAATAAAACTATTGGCTCGTGCACAATTAGTTTTCGGTTGCATTCATTTAGAGAAAATTGAAGTAATACTTTGGCGTTTATTCTCGATCGCGGTGCGTCCAATGAGCCGTCGAACCAAGGTAATGCCCTCACCAAATTGGCCATATACTCAGCACACTCAGGTTAAATGAAGACGTATATACTCGGATATTGCTCTCTTTTGGCCATAGGTTGAGACAAACAAGTTACGTGCACGAACGTACCCCTGCATGCACGGGCACACAAGACGCACCTGTCCCTTCTCGACAAATCCGACGAAAGCTGTGCGCTCGACCTCCACGGGCTGACCGGCCTTGTCGTAGAGCGCGACCACGAAGTGGAAGAAGTTGCTTTTCCGCAGGTTCGATGGCGGCTGTTTCTCGAAGTGCGCGCGGCCCAGGCCCACACTGCGCACAAACGCTCACACTGCACAAGCACACTCTATATCGAAAAGTTGATTCGAGCGCGAAAACTTGACACGATCACTTTTCTAAATGCTCTACCAACTAGCCCAACAACAAGTTCTTTTAGAATACACTCCATATCATGCATTTGCGAATGTTACGCACTTCTGCTCTAAACGAGCCACTATAGACCACAATCAATCGAAATAACCGGAGTATCCTAATAAGCTCATGTCTTATTAGCAATAGTTTTAGCGCAACGGCTTTTTGGAAGAAGTTATGGCGCTAGCATTTATCCGCAAGAGAAAGAAATTTCGCGTCAGTCCTGGTGTTCCAGCCCATACGGGCGTCTATTGACACTTACACGTAGGGGTCAATTACGCCTCTGGTAGCCCAGTGGTAAAACAAGGCGCTCAAAATATGTCGTGGCCTTTGTGCGCAGAATTATATTTATTACAGTTGCGTTGATTGAGAGAGTAGAGAAGCCAGCACTGCAAGGACAGTCAACGTGAGCAGGTGTCACACAGGCAATAATATTATCTGGAGTTTTACGAGCCAAAATCTCGATATGGTTATATAACGGAGGCTGTATACGGCTTCCAAACTATACTATAGGGCTTCGGAAATTTCGACCACCTGGTGTTCTTTAACGTTCACTGACATAGCGAAGTACACGGGATCTATCTTTTCACCAGCATTGTATACACAGATGGAAACAATGCGGCACAATTACTGTTTTCCATTATATTGCTTACGCCAACACATGACTTCAGTTTTGCTTTTCTTGCTGACCCCAAAATTTTGAACAATGCGGTTTTTACAGAAAACATATGTTATTTTAGTTACATCAAGTAAAAAGGAGCATTGAATAATTTTTGACAAGTTAAAACTTTAGAACTGTGTTGTCTTTTATTACGCCATCATAGGTGCGAAGAAGCAATGAAGATTATCGTTTCATTTTCGAGTTTCGCCCCGAAACTTAGGCTGGACATTTAAGCCAATGAAGGCAAGGGAGCATTAGTAAATATTGCATCAATGGAAAAAAACAATAAAAATAAGTAAAAAACAACTAGGTCATGGACCTTCAAGCTATGGATAATGCGTCCGATTCTAGTCTACCAATTGAAATGCAGCGGTGGTCATTCCCTTTGTTGGGCGCGTGTGTAATGCAGTGAGCGTCTGGTCGAGCATCGTGATTCTAAGGTAGCAGATTCGCTCTCCATCGGTGGCAATTGATTGATTGATTGATTGATCGATTGATTGAATGATTGATAGATTGATATGTGGGGTTTTACGTCTCAAAACCATTATGAGAGATGCCGTATAGTAGAGGGTCCCGGAAATTTCGACCACCCTGCAGGTGCTCTTTAACGTGCACCCAAATCTTAGCACACGGCCCTACAGCATTTCCACCTCCATCGGAAATGCAGCCGCCACAGCCGGGATTTGATCCCGGTACCTGCGGGTCAGCAGCCGAGTATATAGCTTAGCCACTAGACCACTGCGGCGGGGCCACCGGTGGCAAGTTATGCCCTGCATGTAATAAATATACTGCGCTATGGAGTTGAAAACTATGAATAATACTCCCTATATCTTCCTCGGCTTCATCGTTTGTTTCTTGAATCTGGCAGCGGTTAATCAAGTATTTATGAAATCTTGGGTTCCGCGGAAACCCGTATGGTCAGCAAAATAAAAAGCAGCGATCAATTGTTCAAGCAAAAAAGAAAAAGTCAAGCTTACGCGTAACGCGCAGCACAGTCAAAGCAAAAGCTGAAACAGCAGCTTCTGATAGCCTATTTTTTTAAAAAGTGGGTAACTTAAGCACACTTGCAGGGTACCCACTACACCATAATCATAATTTTTGTGTATGAGGGAGGCATTCACTATGTTATACCCTTCTTTATTGATTGGAGAAGCTTGGTTCTTGCTACACACTTGCAATTAATTTTGTGCAATTTTCGCATGCTGCGGCTGGCGACGATGCCGAATTATGGCTGAAGCCTTAGTAATGTGGTGGAGCATTCGGTGATATACTTGTTACGCAATTCGCATTGTGTGACGCCTGGATGGTTCTTGTCTGTTCTAAAACGCTTTATTACTCAAAATTGACGTGAATCCTCTCTCAACATCAAGCCTGTCTATAGGGTTAGGTTGCAATGAAATTTCAAGCACCAGCACAGCATTCTTAGAAATAACGTGTACCCTCCCTAAAGCGCTATGCCCAGATGTTTATTTCACATAATCTCTCTGTGTTTGGCAAAGCTAAACCATGCAACCTGTTTCAGGGAACGAAAATATTCTACATACTGCAAATAATTTGTTGTTAGCGGGTTCACCAGAACTCTCGCCGCATATTTGCTACCTTTATTTGGTCAGCAACTTAGGAACAGATGAGACGAGACAATTCTTTAGACGACATTGCCCAGGTGGTCTTGGGTTGGTACACCTTGCTATTAGACAATTGGCGTCACGTATTTTCTATTTTGGTGACTGTGCTCATCCAGTGCTTCGAACATTCTTGCAAGTCAATTTCGTGGATGTTTCACCAAGTTTCACGGTATCTACTAATTTTCATCGCCTCGATATTTGCAAGGGTTCATGTGTGAAGTATAGGAATCAGTGAGTTTTCTGGCAGCCAAATTCTCCATGAATATCTATCCTTTAAATCAAGGAAAGATATATAGTGTGCTGTATTTTATATGGTATTTTCGACTTCATTGTATGGCTCGCTATATATTTCGTTGTCTGGTCATGAAGTTTTGTTACGTGTGATAAAAATGCCTATTTCACAAATAACCAAGACAGTTTTCTACAAATTCCATGCAGAAACAGTACCTGCAAATGTCTGGTTAAACACCAAAGGTATCTTTGCATTCTCAATCGATTGCCGCCTCCATGAAGTTCCAGAAACAATAGAACATTGCTTTAATAGTTCTAAGGATGTCATCTTCTTTTGGGACGTCCGGCAGAAGGATTTAAAAAAAAACAACTAGACTTAAATTATCATAGCATCCGTTATCTTGTACCACCAAAATGCAATGATATGCCAGTTGACATGCTCTTAACAGGCTTGCATATTTTATGGAAAACTCGCATTTTAAACAGGCATGCGGAACCAATTGTGTCTTCCCGATCCCACTTTGTAGGAATGACTGTACAGCTAAGAGACTTTCATGAAGAACTGCTCTTTCAGCCGGACTGGTATACAGAGTTCATGAAGTGTGCTGCTCAAATATATTTTTATACGTAGTGTTGTATGGAATTTCTCTTGTAATGTCCACTGCACATTTGTCGAAGCGACCTTAAGCATTTTGTACGCTATGTATATACGTAAGACACATTTTTATAAAACATCCTGCAAGAGAAAAAAAAATGACAGCATATCCACGGAGTGAATGATGAAGAGTAGGGCGACGCTTCGGATTGTTTTTCGGTAAACCGTGAATCCTCCATCCATCCGTTCGTCCGTCTGTTGTCTGTCTCTCTCTGTTCGTCCGCCCTTCCATCTGTTTGTCTGTCTGTCTGTCTGTCTGTCTTTCTGTTCGTCCGCCCTGCCGTCCGTTCGTCTCTCTGTCTCTGTTCGTCCGCCCTTCCGTCCGTTCGCCTCTCTGTTCGTCCGCCCTTCCATCCGTCCGTCCGTCCGTCCGTCCGTCCGTCCGTCCGTCCGTCTGTCTGTCTGTCTGTCTGTCTGTCCATCCGTCCATCCGTCTGTCTGTCTGTCTCTCTGTTCGTTCACCCTTCCGTCCGTTTGTCTGTCTGTCTCTCTGTTCGTCCGCCATTCCGTCCGTTCGTCTGTCTGTCTCTCTGTTTGTCCGCCCTTCCGTCCGTTCGTCTCTCTGTTCATCCGTCCGTCCGTCCGTCCGTCTGTCTGTCTGTCTGTCTGTCTGTCTGTCTGTCTGTCTGTCTGTCTGTCTGTCTGTCTGTCAATCCGTCCATCCAACTGTCCGTCCGTCCGTCTGTCTGTCTGTTTGTCTGTTTGTGTGTGTGTCCGTGCGTCCGTCCGCACCTGCTGAGTGAGTTGTTGAACTATGCGGACACGTACCGAGCGAGACAATCATGTGCAGACCCACGAGGCTTTAGGAGCTTCGCCCCTAAAAAAAGGCGATTGATATGTGGGGTTTAACGTCCCAAAACCACCATATGATTATAAGAGACGCCGTAGTGGAGGGCTGCGGAAATTTCGACCACCTGGGGTTCTTTAACGTGCACCCAAATCTGAGTACACGGGCCTACAACATTTCCGCCTCCATCGGAAATGCAGCCGCCGCAGCCGGAATTCGAACCCGCGCCCTGCGGGTCAACAGCCTAGTACCTTAGCCACTAGACCACCACGGCGGGGCCTAAAAAAAAAAGGCGTGGCTCAGTGATAGAACACTGGGCTGGCACGCAGAGGGACCCATGTTCGTTCCCATCGTGTCCTTTGTATTTATTTCCTTCGTTTTTTTTTTTCTTACTTCGTGCGATAGTGGTTACGGACACCGGTGGCTTGCGCGGTGGGCGCGCGTGACCCTTGTGTAAACACAAAAGGGACGTTTCGGCCCTACTGCGGGAGCCTCGTTTGCAAAGAATGAAAAATTTCTAGGGGTCACATGGGTTTGGTGGTGTGTCGAGTGGATATTGGGGCCAGGTTGCCTCGGTTGCGTATCATCATTTGTCTGAATCTGAAGGGACTCCGGATGAAGCCTTGCTCTTCTTTTTTTTCGATTGCCTTCGCTCTATTCCAATGAGTATTTTGACCAATCTGGTTAAAGAAATCTTTATGCTGCCACTTTCGGACCCTTAAACACAATGTACACAATTTTTATTGATAAAATGTTGCATAGGCCTGAAATGTTGCCGTCAAATCTATGACGTCGTGAATGGCTGGTGCAGGAACTCCAAGGTGCACATCTTATAATTTATTTTTGCTCAATTTTTCGCTCACGAACCATCTTCTGGCGATATGATTAGTAAGCTTATTACTACTATGTCTCTTGGGGCCCACTGACCACGGTAGCGCAAAG